ATATCACAAATGGGATTGCCTTAACAAATAGCAGTTTATTCTTACAATTTGGAGGCTTTAAGTCCAAGTTCAAAGAGCCAGGTTCTAGGGGCTGGGTCAAAGCCCCTCAACCTTGGGGTCCAGCTCGACTCCTGCTCCCGGCCCACTGGAGCTAGATGCGGTTCTTCACTCAGACAGCTGCTGGGTGCTGAGGCTGAGAAGCCCCAACGTTGACAAGTCAAAAGGCACAGTCCTGATGTTACCAAACCACACAGTAGGCATTAACTTAAGTCCATTGTAAGTCCTAAGGTCGGCAAAGCGTAGCAGGCTGCTGAGCAACGACAAGGCTATAATGCAGGGTCCAAGCGTGCCGTTAGCTAGAGACCATTCTCAAGGCTTCTCCTTAAATAAAGGAAGCAGACTACATCCCAAAGGCAACTACTCAGCTGCTTGTGGTAGATCCCATCATGGAATTAATTGGTAGTCTCATCATGGGGAATAACTACCACCAGCTGCGCAGTCACTCAACCAGGCCCAGCCAAGTTGACACAGACATAACCACCATACTACCAGAGTGTATAATAAAGATATATAAACAGAAAATTGTAGTTTGGTGAGAGCCACGGCAGCAGATTAGCATCTGACGGGATTGTGTGGAAGAGAAGGCCCAATCTACAGGTGGTGATCTTGTTGGTGATAGAGGAGCAGGATGAGGTCAGAGAAAGATTCCTGGTGGGAATGTCATTTGAAGTGAAATATAGAGGACCAATAGGGTTAGGACAGTTGAAAAATAAGAGGTAGATTTTTTCGTACAGTGCAAACGAGTGGTCTAAATAAAGAAAAGAAGAATCAATGAGAGTTTTGGACCATGAAAGTGGTATATAATGAACAATCTAACATATAGTTAAATGTATTTTGTTTTTGGAGAATATTATCATGTTGGTATTTTGGACTCTTGAAATGACTAAATGTTCTCTCTCAAAAATCCAGTTATTTGATAGATTTTAGTTTTCACATGTTTCTCTCTCATATCTCCATTTTTATATATATGGTTTGCTGGTTGTTTATTTATCAAACTTCTAGCCCTATTATTTTTCTTGGACTTGCTGCCATATTTTTTCTTAATGTAAATACTTCACATTCAAGATACAATGTTTCCATTGGTGTATCAATATAAATCCTGTTTATTTTGTTTTAATTTTATTTCATGCTTTAGTTCTTTATCAGGTGTTACCAGCATATTTCTATTTTATTCTTAACTGAATTCATGCCCTTTGGGCAAGAATTTTTACTTCTTTAGTTTAGATTGTATCTAGCCAAAAAAATCTTCAAATGTTATTACTTTAAAACTTTTCCATTAGAAATGTTGTTTTGAGAACCCCTGGTCATTAAACTTATTTCTGTTTTGAAATATACTTCAGGTAATTTAAATTATTTTTCCTGTTACTGTTTAGAAACTGTATTGATTTTTAAATACCATTATTTCTCCCTTCATTTGAGTAGGTATGTTTTGTAGAAAGTGATGTGCACTGTTGCACCAATGTTTTATAAGTCCCCTAATCTCTCAGCTTTGGTAAGGCAAAGTTAAGGGTAAGGTCATGCTTAGATTTAATGATACAACAATTTTCATATTTTCTGATGATAACTGAATATATGAATAATAACATTCTCAAAAAGTTTGTTCATAAAGAGAAGCAAGGAGTGACTTGATCAGGTTTGGTTCTGAATACAAAGCCAAATCTGGATCAGGAAGCGATAAACACGAGGGAAACTTGAAAAATTATGATTAGTGCCCCTAATGTAATTATTCCTCTAATGCTTTGAGAGAAATAGAATTCTTCTGACTAAATCATTGAAGGCTTGTTTGACTTGTTTGTTCCTCAGGGTGTAAATAAATGGGTTTAACATGGGGGAAATGGAAGTAGTTACTATTGTCACTCCCTTATTAATGGCCATTTCATCTTTTGCTGAAGGTTTGATATAGACAAAGATGCAGCTGCCATAGGTGATGGAAACCACAATGAAGTGGGAAGAACAAGTGGAAAAAGCCTTTTTCCTTTGTTGGGCAGAGTGGAATCTTAGAATTGTTCTGATGATATATACGTAGGACAAAACCACACACAAAAGAGTCATGATGAAGATCACTACAGAGCAGGCAAGAACCATCTGCTCTATGATCCATGTATCTGTGCATGAGATCTTCAGGAGAGGATTAACATCACAGAAAAAGTGATCAATGACATTGGAATCACAGAAGTCCAGACCCAGCCCTAAGCTAAGAGGTGGAAATATGATCAAAAAAGTAGTTAGCCAGCAGCCCAAGATAAGCTTTATGCAGGCCCTGTGGTTCATGATGGTCATGTAATGCAGGGGTTTGCAGATGGCCACATAACGATCATAGGACATGGTGGCCAGGAGGAAAAATTCTGCTACTGCAAACAGATATGTAAAAAACAATTGACTTGCACAAGCGTTATAGGTAACGGTCCTGTCACCTGTTGAT